CTACCCCAACACACACACCCATATGCGTGCCCCATCTGCAGACGTCTTTTCCAATTTGGCATTAGAAGCTCTGCCGACCAGGAGACAGCTCCGGATGTAGAGACTCTGGGTTGTTTCATAATCAAGATGTATATGTTACAGATGTCCCGGTGTTCAAAGTACACCTAGCAATCACCATAAAAATAGCTGGCATATCAGGGCCACGTGGGCACCAGGGTAAGCACCCCAAGGTGGGTGCCTTTGATCTTTACCCGTCTGCAGTGGATGGGTTTTGCACCTTGTCTCATAGGATGTGAGGCACAGACATCCCACACCCCCAAATTCACCTAAGCTTACCTAAGCTCACCCAAGACCCTCAGCGGAATGCTAGCTCGAGTGGGGGTGTGCACACCTGCCCTACCTGTGCCCAGAGACATCGCGGGTGTGGGGGGCTCTGCGTGGTTTGCTGCGGGTCTTACGCTCTTTTGCCTCCGAGCAAGGACATTTTCATGTCTTGGGGCATCATCTGCTCCACAGTGTGGAAAGCATAGCAGCTATTTCAAGGCTCCACTCAGTCAGTGACCACTTCCCCCGCTGCCTGGAAGAATCTTTGCCCTGGTGCCCAGGACCCCGGGGGTCCCCGGGCTTTTGATCTGGAGGACGGCTTTGGGAAAAGGAGGCTCCCCTTCAAAACGCCTGTGGCAGGGGCGCTGGGCTCTGATCTTGATGGGAGGGGCGAAGAGAGGAGAGGCGTTGGGCCGTGCCAGTGTACACACCGGGCGGCTCCCCTGGGGCTCCCTTCAGGGAAGCGGGCTCCTGAGGCTGTTCCTGTCCTCCCTGCAAAGACCGTGTGCCCCCGCTGCCCTGTGACAGAAGACAGGTCGCTCCTCCACCGGATGCGTTCCATTTCCCCTCCCCCTCTTAACTTCCTATGCTCTCTGGGAGCTGAACTGGTCCAGTGGGCCTAAGGGGGCACCAGTTTAAGGGACAGATGACCTTTGCGTCTCAGGACTCCCTGGATGCCATCCCTGAGCTAGCCCAACTAGCCTGAAAACTGGGGGGCGGAGGGAGAGGTGGGGGTGGGCATGGGTGGAGGGAGACTGGGGGAAACTTGCCTTGGCACCATCTGAGCTGCCCTCACCCCAAAGCCAGGGCATCCTAGGGGAATCCAGCTTTTGAAATACAATCCCAGCAGTGACCAGGCTCCAATGAAATGGGGGGATGGTGCCTCCTCTGGGCCCACTACTTCCCTAGGCCTCCCAGCCAGGTCTCTTCCGGCTGCATCCCCTCCTCCCACACTTCTAAGGTCCCCAAGGCTGCATGGGACATCCCAAACGAGGAAGGGACATCAGGGGAGAACTCCCTACCAGCTACTTTCAGTACCCCCGTCCACCGGGTCCACTATGTGGGCATCTTTTTTACTTCTAAAGTGCCTCCCTGGTGTATGCAGTAGCGCATGCATTCGGGGCTCAAACTGCCAGGGTGGGGTGGGGGGTCCAATGTCCTAGTTGCCTCCCAACCTAGGAGCAGTGTGGGGTTGTTTGGTGTTGGGGTTGGGGGCAGTGCTGGCGCTGAGAGTGTCTGCTGGAAGTGTGTCCCACCTTGCATTAAAGACTTCATTCCAACCTTGCTTGGGATGGTTACTATGGTTTGGCTACTTGGCTAGTCCAGCAATCTCAAGGGCAGGATGCTTAACCCGGAGGGAGGGTTATAGGGTCTTCGAATCCCCTGAAATTGTGCACAGCAGTATGTGTGCCCGGAGAGGGGGGGTCCCTACCGCTTTCCTTCACATCTCAGAGACAGGGGAACCCAACAAAGGGAAGACCTTTCACTACTCCTGGGAGTGATGAGTGGAGGGAGACCCCTTTGGGTGGTCTCTGCTGGTCTCTGACCACTCCAGC